TGGCTCAATCCATTTAACAATTAATGGCTCAACCCATTTAACCATTAATGGCTCAACCCATTTAATTAAATGAGTTCATGGGTTGACTCAACTCATTTAACTCTAAACTCATTGGGTAATGAGTTGAGTTAACCATTTTGACACCCCTAATTTTGTTCAATGCTCAACATCGTCATCTCAACATCGCCATCTCCTGCATATTATCAATATAATCTAATATAATACAAGTCTGATTTGTGCCAAGTTTAAACAAAGTGATTAAGAAATTTTCATAGGGATAGAGAGAAAGTAGTTAAAGATGGTAAGAAAACTAGGCAAGTTAAATTTGAATAGCACGACTATATCATGATTATGATTGGTAAGTAGCAGTTGAAAAAATTCTTAAAAATAAATAATAACATATTAATAAAATTTCATTCTGAATTAAACATTAAAAAAAAATACATTTTCTAAAATGTAAAAAGAAGTATCTATATATACATTGTTGTAGACATTTCTGAAATAAATCCTGGAGTTCCAACTTATTTACGATCAAATGCCATTAACATTAATTATTTAGATTTATAAAATTAAATCAAAGATATGAACATAAAAAATTATTTCCAAAAATCTTAACATAATATATTAAGCATAACTAATCCTTGCCACAATTACATCCATATTCAATTCTATTTCCTTAAAAGATCTCGACAATCCCTACATTTAATCGTTGCCATTCAAATCTTAATCCGGTTTTTAATCTTCAATTTTGACCGTCGGTTATTCGCAATTAATCCAGAAATCATTATATAGAATTCATTATTATTAACTAAAATTTTAAAATATATATATAAAATCAAACTTTTAAATTGACTCGAATTATATGTCTATTAAATAAAATATTATTAAAAATAACAAAATAATGTTTAATTTCACGAGACGGGGTTACATAGTGGGACGGGTTTGGATCGATATTAATACGGGACGGTATTAATACGGGACGGTATTAATATCACGGATGAAATCTTAAAATTAACAATCAAAATACAATTATACAATCTTAAACACTTAACAAAATAAACAATATTAAAAAATACAATATTAAATTTAATTTTTTAGTTAAAAACTTGATCCGCGGTGTACTGCGGGGTAAAATCTAGTAAAAGCTAAAAATACAACCGCTTTTTAGGTAAAAGAAGTATACATTCTATTTTCAAATCGTTATCGGATAAATATTCTATTTTCTAGCGATTACGAACTGTTTTGTTTCATCTTATAACCGTCTTTTTCAACCACTCATTCGATCGGTCTATTTCATCTATTTTCCGATTGTTAACAAACGGTTTAATCTGAAACCACCCTAAATAATTAAACCACACAAACCCTAAAATTTTAGTTGCATGAACTTTCCTTATCTCATCGTTAGGAACTCCTTTTCATGCCAATTTTTTTTTGCACAATGTGATTACGTATAATCATCTACCAAAATGACCCTAAATTTAAATACAACTACAATTTATAAGCAACAATTTCAAGGTTTGATTGGTTCCCCCACAACAACCTGCAAATGCTATGTTGCTACGGTTGCTACCGTTTAAAAGCAAGCACAAATTTTTTTTATACCGCTTCAAGCCGTTAAGAGTCGCCAAATTTCAAAAATTTATTTCCGCAAGCGTTTGAGGTTGCAGACAGTGGTAGCAGGTGGCTCAACAAAGAAGAAGAAAATCATGTAGACAACAATAAAAATATATATTATCAAGCCCTATATATATTCAAGTTAATTATCAAATAATATCATTTTAATCCTAATCTCTACGTATGGATAATTACAGTAAAACCTCTATAAATTAATACTCCATAAATTAATAATCTTTCTAAATTAATAAATTCTTCCGGTCCCGAGTTGGTACCAGTGTAAAATATGATATAAATCGATAAATTAATAAGATAATAATTTTTTTAAAAATCTCATGTAAACATATGGTCCCATATATATCATAAACTAATAATTATATTAACTTATCAATATATATATATATATACATTATACAAATTTATATATGTTATATATGAATTACTATGATATATATTTAAAATATTATATATAAAAAATTGATGAAATATGACTCTATTATCCGAAAAAGTTTGTGTTGTATTTTAAGCTTACTAATTGTCTCTCTACTTGTAATTAGTTCTTAAAAGATATTGTTTATAAAGAAAAAAATTATTTTTAGATAGAAATTTTTTTAAGAAATTACAAAATTAGTTAAATCTCTCTATAAATTAATAATTATTAATTTATCGATAAATTAATACCTCTCTAAATTAATAAAATTTCTTGATCCCAATATTATTAATTTATAGAGGTTTTACTGTATATGTGTTTCAGTATGGAATTTATTTGTTTTTGAAAAATTATTTAGTATTTATATATTGTTTTTCATTATTAATTATGTTTATTTTTTTATAACTTATCATAATAATATTGTTTTTGGTGTTTTTACACCTTTTAAAAATTATATATTATTTTGTAAATTTTTTTATTATAGTTACATCAGCTGATCAACCAATCATAAAATTCTTACAAACAAAATCATTTTCAACTACTAAACCGGTCGTTCAAAACGTTTAATAACAAATGAAATCGTCATCCGCTAGCAAACTCCGGTGTCCGCAACAACATCCACTATATTTAAACCAGTCTGAATTTCTCAATAATGTTTTGGCTACCATATAAATATGTAGAAAAAGTTTAAATGATTGATTTTTTCATAATACATATATTTTTGTTCTGAAATCTATAAATAATAGCAATCTCAATAAATATCTTTTGCACCTCCGAACGGCTGCATCTTTTTATCGCAATCTTTCGTTTAAATATTTACGATTATTTTTTTGGTTATGTTTTTTTATCGCATCTTTTCGTTGATATATTTACGGTTACTTTTTTACGGTTTTGTCTTTTTATCGCATCTCTTCGTTAACATATTTACGGTTTTCTTACAGTTATATTTGTTCTATTACAGTTGTATCTTTTCAGTTTACGGTTGTGTCTTCATAGTTGCATCTATTCATTTAAAGTTACGTCTCATATTATATAGATTTAAATTTTGATTTTTTAACTAAAATATTTTACGGTTGTTTTTTTCAAAAAGTTATAATCTGAATAAATATTTTCTACGGTTGCATCTTTTTATCGTAACATCTCATAAACGATTGCGATTGTTTAGTTGAACCATTGCAACATTTACTTTATTTAACGAACAATTGTAATTTTTGATTTATTTTATAAATCGTTAAAACATTTAATTTTTTAAAAACTAAAATAGATATTTTACAGTTGAATTTTTTTAGAAAGTTGCGATCCGAATAAATGTCTTCTACGGTTCCGTTATTTTTTTTATCGTAACTTTTCGTAAATGGTTGCAACCGTTTAGTTGAACCATTGCAATATTTAATTTATTTCACGAACAAATGCAACTATTGGTTTATTTTATAAACCGTTATAACATTTAATTATCTACAGTCAAGCCTTTTGGTGTAACTTTTTATAAACTATTATTTCAATTTTAGTTACTAAAATGTATTTAAATAAAATTGTAACCGTTTAATTGAACTGTAACGCCCCGACCGCCCCTACCAGTGAGCACCCACGCCTCTCACGGGCTCGTGGGCCCCACTCCTGTTCGACGGCCGGTCCGCTACGTCCGAGAGGCTTTAATGACTTGTTTACCGACCCTACAAATCACCACATGATCTTTCCCTCTGTTTTGTCCTCACTCACACAGTTCCGATAATCACTTCCCGGAAGGGCACCCATCCTTAAACTACTCCAGCTCAAGCACACTTAATTGTGGAGTTCTCTCAGGACAGTTGACCGAAAAGATAAGTGCACTTTTGGTGACAAAGGTGGCCAAATCAATTCTTATAAACCTCTCCGCATGCACCACCATATTCCTGAAACCGAGGTGTTACAATTCACCCCACTAACAGATCGCAACGTCCTCTTTGCGCACCAAGACCGTCACCCCCTACGATGTAAGCTCTCTTGACTCCACACTCGTCTGGGTTCGGCTCTGATACCACTTGTAACGCCCCGACCGCCCCTACGAGTGAGCACCCACGCTTCTCTCGGGCCCGTGGGCCCACTCCTTTTCGACGGCCGGTCCGCTACGTCCGGGAGGCTTTAATGACTTGTTTACCGACCCTACAAATCACCACATGATCTTTCCCTGTGTTTTGTCCTCACTCACACAGTTTCGACAATCACTTCCCGGAAGGTCACCCATCTTTAAACTACTCCAGCTCAAGCACGCTTAACTGTGGAGTTCTCTCAGGACAGTTGACCGAAAAGATAAGTGCACTTTTGGTGACATAGGTGGCCAAATCAATTCTTATAAACCTCTCCGCATGCACCACCATATTCTTGAAACCGGGGTGTTACATGAACCGTTGCAATATTTAGTTTATTTGACAAATTATTGCAACTTTTGGTTTTGTTTTTACGAACCATTGTAATCTTTAATTTATTTGACGAACCGTTGCAACATTTTGTATATTTGACAAACGATTGCAACTTTTACTATATATGATGTCTACGGTCGCGTCTTTCGGTTATAGTTCTTCATCAAATTTTTAATTTAAATTATTATTTAAATGAATATGTTGCTACCATTTCATAGAACATAGTAACATTTGGTTTATTTGACGAACCAATTAATATTTGGTTTATTTGACGAACCAATTAATATTTTAGCTTATCTGATGAACCGTTGTAACCTTTGTTTTTTTTTTCTCATCGTTGTAACCTTTGGTTTATTTGATGAACCGTTACAATATTTGATATCTTTGATGAACTATTGCAACTTTAGTTTATTTGATGAATTATTACAACTTTAGGTATATTTGATGAACCGTTGCAACATTGCTTTTGTAAAAACAAAAATTTGAGACCATTAACTAAATCTTTTTTTTTTTGAACAAAGCATTAACTAAAGTTATATTTGTTATTTTTTTTTTTTTTAACAGCTGCTTTATTTGATTAATGATAAGAGTAATAGTCACATTGTAAAACATCAGAAATTACACGGGGAATCAGAGAATGAAAGAAAAAAGAACTATTATTTGGAATCTCCTTCTTGGCTAATATATCTGCAGGTTTGTTGCAGGACCTGTTGATCCACTTGAATTCAACCGCATCAAACTTCATCTTCCATCTCTTCACTTCACGTATCCAGTTATAGGACCCAAAGTTTATCTTGGTACCGTTGATTAACTTGACCACTTCTTGATTGTCTCCTTCAAAACAAACTCGCTGATAACCTCTAGTCCAACAATGTTGCATAGCAATGATTAAGGACTGTAGCTCACATTCCATAGCATCATTTAGTACACCCCCCATAGCTTGACCCGAACCCATATATACTCTGTTGTGATCTCTTATGATCCATCCACTCTTTGCAGGCAAATTAGAACTCACAAATGATCCATCATAGTTGCATTTTAGCCAACCTATCGCCGGAGGCTGCCAGTTTTGGTATCTAGCCGGATTGGTCTCTGGTTGTTGAGGTTGAATATCTCCTGGGTTATGCGCAACTTTCATCTCCATCCATTCTTTTGCATCATCCCTTGCAAACTTGAGGCTCATCATCCAGGGAATGTGCTTTCTTTGAAAATAAAGGATGTTTCTACTCTTCCAAAGTCTCCACATAATCCAAATTGGTAAATGCTTGAGGTGTCTTGTTCGGGATGAAGTGTTAAGGTGACAGATCGCCCTGATTTTATCTTCAAGTGAAGCTATAGTTGATAGAATCGTTGGGTCAGGGACTCCAGAGGCTCGCCAAAGTGCTCTCGCATAATCACACTCAAAGAAAAGGTGTGATGTTGTTTCTTCGGCTTTACAACACCTGCAGCAAATCGCTTGCTGTCGCATATGATGATATTTAAGGTTTGCTCCAGTTGCCAAAGCCCCAGACATAAGTCTCTAGAGAAAGTGTTTTAACTTCGGTGGCGTATCTAACTTCCAGAGGGCTTGTTTAATTTGGACATCACCTGGTGGTGCTTGATTTACCATCCGGGTTGGCAGGTGCGACGCCAACCAATACGCAGATTTAACCGTGTATATCCCTTCTTTCGTATAATGCCAGCCTAGGAGGTCTCTTGACGCTTCTGAGCTAATCTTGATCGCTAATACCTTGTTAACGTCTTCTGGAGATACAGCTGCTCGTACTTTTTCTATATCCCAACCAGTTCTTGAACTATTAAACCAATCTTTCACCCAACAATTGGTTACATCATCATCTTTCTTTAAGGGTGGTCGCGGAGAGTGGATTGGTAACCAAGGATCAACAAATGCATTTACCATAGAACCATTACCGATAACATACCTCATACCTTGCTTCAAAAGATCTCTTCCATGTAGGAGAGATCGCCATACAAAAGACGCCTTTTGACATTGCTGAGCGTTAAGGATATTCATATCTGGGAAGTATCTAGCTTTAAGAACCCTTGACATCAAACAATCTGGCTGATGCAGTATACGCAAAACTTGTTTACCGAGCAAAGCAATGTTGAAACTCTCCAACTCACGGAATCCCAAGCCTCCCTCTCTTTTTGGTAAACAGAGTCTGTTCCAAGCAAACCAGTGAACCCCTTTTTTATTCTCATCTGTATTCCACCAGAATCGGTTTAGAACCATGTTGATCTCCTCACAAATTTCTTTTGGCAATTTAAAAATATTCATGGAGTAGACTGGCATCGCTAAGGCAACAGCTTTGAGCAAAACCTCCTTTCCTCCTTGTGATAAAAACTTCTTGCTCCAACCTTGTGTTTTTTCCTTAACCTTATCGACGATGTACCGAAACATGTCTGTTTTTTTTTTTGTAAACTGTTCTGGTAATCCCAGATATTTACCTCCTCCTCCCTCATTGTGGATACCTAAGAAATGCCTGATTCTTCTCTTAACATCATGCTTTACTTTGCTACCAAACGTTATTGATGACTTCCTCAAGTTCACTACTTGGCCTGAAACAGCTTCATACTTGGATAGAATTTCTTTGATAGCTCTACACGACTTGTTGTTTGCTAACATGAAAAAGAGAGAATCGTCAGCAAACAAAAGATGGTTAATCGCTGGACCCCTAATAGTGATTTTGATGCCCTGAATTTATCTGTTTTGTGCCGCTTTGTGCATCAAATGGGACAAAACCTCGGCACATAGGATGAAAAAATATGGCGATAAAGGATCCCCTTGACGTATTCCCCGTTGTGGGAGAATGTTACCATGCGCGGCCCCATTTATCAAAACAGAGTAGCTAACAGAAGAGACACAATTCATGATCCATCGAATCCAAACACTAGAAAAACCCATGTGCTTTATAGTTTCCTCCAAAAACCACCATTCAAGTCGATCATATGCCTTCGTTATATCTGTTTTTAACGCCATATAGGAGGTTGCTTGTCTGGTTCTTGACTTTAGGGCATGGAAAGTCTCTTGGGCCATTATGACGTTATCTGTTATCATCCTTCCGGGGATAAAGGCTGCTTTATGTTCTGATATAACTCCGGAGAGGTGTGGTTTTAACCGATTCACCAAGATCTTCGAAATAATCTTATAGCTTACATTACAGAGCGCTATAGGCCGGAAGTCCGCGATAGTCGACAGTGCAACAATCTTGGAAAGCAGGCATAGATTCGTGTGGTTGTGAGCATGCTCTAAATGATTATTTGCAAAGAAGCTTTGTACTTCCTCAAATATCGAGGGTTGAATCTCATTCCAATATTGATGATAGAAACTTGCCGAAAAACCATCAGGTCCAGGAGCTCGGTGAGGGCCAATAGCAAAAACTGCATTTTTGATTTCATCAATGGTTACAGGCCTTGTAAGATCCATGTTTATCTCATTTGTAATCTTTGCTTGAAATCCTTGAAAAACAGAGCGATACTCTTCCTCTGGCGCCGGTTCTGCTGTGTATAGGTCTTCAAAATATTTAATAGCTACTGCAGCTATATCCTTATCCCCACGTATATACACTCCCGTGTGGTCCAAGATGGAAAGCATCCTGTTTCTTGCTCTTCTCGTCTTTGTCACCATATGAAAATAATGGGTGTTGCGATCTCCTGAATTCATCCATGTGTTTCGGCTTTTCAATTTCCAGAACACCTCTTCTTCAATCAAAGCTGTATTGAGATCCCTTTTTAGCCTCTCCTTTTCCTGCAAAGTGGCTGACCCTGTTGCAATTGCTCTGTCTAGCTGATGTCTAATAATTTTGATCTTCTCTTCAGAGTTTGTTCGATGAGTTCTCTTCCATTTAGAAATATGAGATCGGCAATCAATAAGTCTTTGGAGAAGTGTAGGGTTAAGGCCTCTGTTTGCTTTCATGTTCCAACCTTGTAGAACAGAGTCCTTAAAACCCTCCTCTTGGACCATACGAGGATCAAATCTGAAACTTCCACGATAAGCTTCATTAGTATCAGAGATATGTGTCAATAAAGATCTATGATCTGACTCTCCAAACTCCATAAACTCTGTCTCAGAGTATGGAAACAGATTGTGCCAAGCACTAATAGCCATGGTACGATCCAAGCAACAAGTAACATGGTGATTCCCTCTTTTACCCGCCCAAGAAAACTTGTCTCCTATCGACTTCAAGTCAGTAAAATCACAACATCTAACCATTTGTCTCATGTCTTGAAAAGAACTTTCTGGTCTTAAACGCCCCCCTTGTTTCTCATGGTTCCCTAAGAGCTCATTAAAGTCACCTAAAATGAACCAAGGTTGTCCGGCTCTATTGATAGAGGTTCTTTCTAGTCTCTCCCAAAGATTGTGTCTTTGACTTGGCTGTGGGTAACCATAAACAAAGGACAAGTAAAAATTGAAATCGTTGCATTTAAAAAAGGCATCTACAAGATGAGAAGACTGAAAATAGATAAACATATCTACAGAATCTTTCCAAAGTACAACTAAACCCCCACTTAAACCTACAGGTGGTTCTATTACATAGCGACTAAACCCCAACTCAGCGCACTTGTCTCGCACATAGTCATTCTGTTGCTTCGTCTCTGATAGGCAAATGATGTCCGGGAGATATTACGGCTTATCTCCTTAAGGCGTCGAACTGTCAAGTCAATGCCTAGACCTTGACAGTTCCAGCAGATTGTCCTCATGGCGGAAGAGGTGGTTCAGGGCCCACCGCGCCTCTCACCTGGTCAGACTCGCTAGCATTGCCACCACTGCTTTCTCCTTTCTCCCTAATCACCATTTTGGATTTATCACTGTCAGGGCTTGAGTCCGGCGATTCCTCTCTCTTACGTTTGCCTTTGTCCACAATGGCTCCTATAGTCCCCTGAGCACGAATGGCCTCATCCATAATTTCCAGACGTGGAATGATGGATTCAAAGCTTGGATAGGCAGAGCTTCCTGGAATGTCACCTGTTGCATTATCAAAAGCCGGGATTGGATTGAACAATTCATTAGTCTCCCTTTTGGCATTAAACATGTTGTAGGGAGGTCCTCTCTCCTCGATTTCAAGTAAAGCATCTTGAAGGCTCTCCTGCTCTTCCGCATTCACTTCGCCTTCCTCGTCCACGTCAGCTTCTTCTTCCTCCTCTCCTTCAATCATCTCACGAATAACAACACCATGATTGTGATGTGGAATCATTGGATTGTTATCATCCATGTCTTCATCATCATCATCATCTTGATTCTGTTCTTCACCACCATTTTGAATCAAGCAATTTCCAGAATCGTGAGTTAGCATACCACATACTTCACAGAAACCTCTCAGACGCTCATACCGAAACCGGAGAAGCGTGTTGACTCCATCTGCAAACTGAAAATGCCTCTGGAAACGGAGCGGGGACGCCACATCCCAATTCAACCTGACCCGAACAAATTCTACACGTGCGGCGGCTACAGCATTGTAATCCACTTCCATCAACTGGCCCATGGCCCTTGCAACATGAGCGATGACTTCTTCATTCATTAGATGGTATGGAATGCCCTGTATTTGGACCCAAAACGGTATGAAATTGAGCAAAGGAGGGTTCATCAGGGGGGTCCACTGTTGGAGGATGAGCATTCGATCATTGTAAGCCCACGGGCCTCTGCGAAGTACATTCTCCATAGCCTCCTCTGTCGGAAAGATGAATTGAAAGTTGCCGCCTACAACAATCCGACCATGGATCACCCCAGCAAGACCCCAACTTCTCGGTAAGTTAGCAACGATGGCACGGATGTTTTGTCTCCTTGGAATCACCGGTCTTCCCATCAAATATATATATATATATATATATATATATATATATATATATATATATATATATATATCAAAAAAGCTCGACTATTTTTTCACAAAGCATTTAAATTTGTTTTTAATGATATATAGTACAATATTACAATAATATTAATGTGTGGACACAAACCCACTTCTATATAAGCCGAAGTAAAACACGAATAATACTCAGTAGTACAAATATATTTTCTTGCAGAACATATGGGAAGAGACCAAATGAAGCGGTTTTGCTCCGCCGCCTGAGCAACAACTTCAATTGGTAAACGAATTGGTTCATCGTCCACACCCAGATTGATGTCCTGGATGGCTCTTCGGATGTTATCTCCCATTTTGACAAGAATTTTGTAAAATCGCAGAGGGAAGTAAGAGTAGAGAGATGATTCGGTAGGAGTTTGATGTAGAATCGTGAAAATTGTCGATCTCTTATATAGAAGATCAGTCGCAGTAACTGTTGAAAGAAGTGCATCACGCTTAATCGTGGGTGACAGCGTGGGAATTTGCTTCAGAGAGTGGATGGGAGTAAAAAACCGCTCCACTACGCCGGTTAATTTGGTCGAAACCGTCTCCCAGAGGGGGAGAAATT